AGAGAGAGAGAGAGAGAGAGAGAGAGAGAGAGAGAGAGAGAGAGAGAGAGAGAGAGAGAGAGAGAGAAGAGAGATTAGGGCAAAGAGAAACCGCAACGTAGCTTCAAAGAGGTCTTGCCAGCCTGAAGGGGCGCGTCTACTTAACTTTGATCAGGTCGAGACCGCTGATGCGAGACGATGCCATGCAGAAATAAAGTGGCTCCCGGAGTTTCCCGCCTTTTTTCCTCGATCCATCGCTCGACTCCGTGCTCGAAATATCGTACCAGCAACGGCCTCGAAATATTCCCCGCCCGTCAAATCGATTTAATCCGCTTTGCTAAATTTTTAACCGTATTTAACGATCGATCCAAGGGGATGGATCCGTTCTACGCGATAAAACACCGATCTCGTTCCCTGCAAACGTCTCGGGCGGAGGAACGGGAGAGCTCGTGAGCGAGCGAGAGGACACTTTTGCCTCGTGCTAGAGAGACAACAACGGTGGATCGTGTTGGAGATCAGCGGGAGAAGAGATGGAAACGGCAGGTTGAATGTCGTTATTACGTTGAATTAGAGGGTGCAGAGCCGGAACGAGGTATGAAACTATTACCTCGCGAAACGGCGGATCCCTCTCTCTCCGGATCCCTCGCCCGATCCTCGCCTCCCCTCCCCTCGATAGAGGATAGAGGAGAAGGGGGTGGGTGGGATTTGCGCGTACCTTCGAGGATACGGACGGTCGCGAGCGAAATCGGTCCCCTCGACGATATCGAGACAAAAAAAGGACACCATTTTCTTGTGGAGAAAATCGATGCGATTGGAAAATCGATCGAAAGAAAGGGAAAGAAGAGGACTCACCGCCGTGCTGGGGGCTGTGCTTGTAGCAATCTTGATGAGCCGAGGAGCCGCTGTTGGCCCCGAGGTGGCCGCTCGAAGCAGGCGATGCGGTCGGATCGGTGTTGTTGGGGTTGGTGCAGCCACCGCTAACCGAATTCGCGGTGACGTTGTTCCCGACGTGGTGCTTATTCCTCCTGTACGGCTCCGAGTCCCGGAGGTAGGGGGTGAACGGGCTTGGCGCGTCGGGGAAAGTCCCTCGGGTCAAGCCGGGGACACGGGGTAGCGCGGGAACTCGCGCCAGTCCGGGGATGTGAGTCTGCCCTGGAAAACAACCAACGATTCTCTTTCAACTCCGCTTTTTCCCCACCTCCTTCTCTTTTTACACGATCGCGCAACGCTTTAGGATTTAGACTCAGATGGGGAAAAATCCCAAGCCTTGTTCGGAACCTCGGCTCGATTCGAGGAGCGAATTAAAGGATGTTTGCGCAATTAGGCAGAGAGATGCGGAGAGGGATAATTAAGAAACTCGAAGCGGCTATGCGATCGACTTCAATAGCATTCCTCGCGCGTTCCATCTCTCCCTCCTGCGAGCAGGGGGAGGAGGGGGGGGAGAGCAGTGGGAGAGGCACGAGTATCTCTGCGCGCTGGACACGGCGATCCTCCTCTATTGGGGAGGATCGCAATATGCGCGCAATGCGTGTGCATCGTTATACGGGGATGCACATTATGCGCCACGTGCATAGGCTCGATTGCTTACGTAATCGCTGTACACGACATTCGGTGGCAAAATCACCACGCTGCGCAACCTCCGCCGCCGTTTTTATCCGCGCCACGAATTAATCGAATCGACCTGAAAGCGAAATCCTAATTTTTCCCGAAAGAGAGAGAGAGAGAGATGACGATTCTTCCCTCTTCCTTGGAGGAGAGGAGGCCGAAATGGATCGAAAGAAGTGGAGCAGTGCTGCATCCCTCGGAGAGGAAGGTAAGAATGGGAGCCGCGAGGCGCAAATTGTTATTCCTAAGGGCGGGAGAGAGGGAAGGAAGAGGGAGAGGGCCACGAGGGCGAACGACAAATAAAGTTCGACCGCAAACTGCACGAAATTGTCGGTGAGCCCAGATGGTCAGCTCCGGTGCGGCAACCGATGCCTACAAGATTATTCCTCGCTACCGACTACCACGGCGAACGAGAAACGAGGGATCCACGTTCGCCTCCACGACCGGATCCCACGACTTCTCACGTACCGGACGCTCGTAATACCCCTTCCTCCAAACGTATCGGCCGACACTCTTTTCGGAACCAAGCTCTCCTCCGTTCGACTTTCCATTCAACGGGAGCGAACTACTACAAGAATGGGAATGGGCAGCGAGCTAAAGATAATCCGGAAAGGGATCGTATCTCTCTCTCTCTCAACTTACGCGCGTAAAATTTCGACGCATCTGAATCGAAGCGATCGTCCTCGACGAATCGAGGAAGGCAACCGACGTGGCTCGTTGTTCGTGAAAATTAAAATCGAGGTCTCGCTATCGCCTCGTTCGGGATATCCGAGAACGTACCTGCTATCCGAATCTAGAAGCGGAAAGGCGGTTAATTACAATGAACAAGAACGATCGTGATATAACACCTTCAACACCCGATCGCCCCTTCGCCCGCTCGTTGAACGTGGCGAAGGAAGAGAGGACGGAGAGAATGAGAGAGAGAGAGAGAGAGAGAGAAGAGAGGGAGGGAGGGAGGGAGGGAGGGAGAGAGAACAATAATTCCAATCTCCGCAGCACGAGTGGTGGGCTTATCTAATCAAAGTGTGGCAGCCCCGGAGGACGGAAATAGCGCGGCTTTTTCCTCCTCTCTAATAACGGGCCCCTCCCTCCGCTCGTCTTACGTCCTCCTTGACGCCGCGCCACCACGCCACAGCATTTCGACAATTTTGCTCCGATCTCTTCTCTCCGTGCCATCTTCTCTCTTTCTCGTTCGCCAGAAACATCGGTGTAAAAAAAAAAAACTTTTTCTTTTTAGAAACAACGGTTAAATTCGCCGTCTCTTTTCCCTTCCCTTTCGCAAAAGTTTACGAACCTTCCGTCCCATTCGAAACTTGAAGGATTACTTTCCGATTAATATCGTCGAAATCAGCCACGAATGATTGGCGTCGTAACGTCGTTCCTATCGAACCGAGGATCGGATCGATCTCGATCGAATCGAACGATTATTAAAACGGGTTTGGATTTTTTTTTTTTTTTCGGCGAGGATCAAAAATGTTTTTCGAAACGAGAGATACGAGGATTCCAAGCTTTTCCTACGGAGGATACGGAAAATAATTTAGAGAGAGAGACAGAAGGGCGCGTGGTGCATTCTTGTCTCTAATCGAAATACCAAACGCGGAACAATTACGCGGGCAAGCAAATTCAATTTCAACGTTTGACTGACAGCGGCCGATCTATCGATATTGTTTTGCCGGGGCCGTTTCGATGATTTTCGGCCGCAGTGATGGATACCCGGTACCCACTTTGTTCCGCAACTCCCTTTTCTCCGTTCGTTCCAACCGATTCGCGTCGACCGACCCTCCCTCCTTTCCATTCGTTTTCCGTTCCGATCGAGCTCGGTTTTCCACCAACCGGAGAGGAAACTAGGCCTTCCCGCGTCATCGTCTGCGTTCCTTTTACCACGCGCGTCCCGTCTAATTCCAATCGAAACCAACTCGTATCATCGAGACCGACGTTCGCCGATCATCGACTGAAAACGATAACTGTCTTCGCACTTTATTAATTATTATACGTCGAATGGAATACGCGTATTAAATAATTTTCTTCGATCCGTTGATTTCTGGCAAGATGAGACCGATCGTCAACTGAAAACGATAACTGTCTTCGCACTTTATTAATTATTATACGTCGAATGGAATACGCGTATTAAATAATTTTCTTCGATCCGTTGATTTTTGGCAAGATGAGACCGATCAACTGAAAATGATAGCTGTTACTTTATTAATTATTACGTTGGACGCAAGATTTCCTTGCCTTTTTAGCAAGAAAGGTAAGAAGATTCCGGACTATCTTTAAAGTATCAACCAACCGTTGATATTAACCAATGTTAACACGATACGATGAACTCGAATACGAGCTACGATTTTTAGCAAAAAACATGATTCTGGTCTACGCTCAAAGTATCGGTCTCGATGAGAACGACAGCTGTCTTCGCACTTGTAATTATCACTCGAATACGAGCTACGATTTTTAGCAAGAAACATGATTCTGGTCTACGCTCAAAGTATCGGTCTCGATGAGAACGACAGCTGTCTTCGCACTTGTAATTATCACGTTGGACGCAACATTTCTCGATCAAGAAAAATCGATTATCAATATTAACATTCGAATGCATTCGAATACGAGCTACGCGTATTAAATAATTTCCTTGGGTTCGATCCGTCGATTTTTAATAAGATTCTGGACTACGCTCAAAGCGACCGTTGGAAAAGTTACTTGGCGCTGAAAAGTTAGTCCGTCCGTAATCGACGGTCACGCGTCGTTCGGTGGCCGAGTTTTCGGTGTTTACACGCGACGACGGGCCGGTGAATTGCAAAAATTGCGCGATTACCGGGGCGGGAACAGCCGGGGCGGGTTGAAAAATGGGGCGAGGGGTGGTGATTCCCGATAACAAAAAGCTCGCGATTATCCACGCAATAATGATAGCCGGCAGGTGTCTGGTGAGCGGCCGTGCTTCGCATCGTTTGCCGCGAGGACAATGAAAGCGCCGGTTGTTTCGCCCGACGGCTCCCGTACACGCTTGGTCGTTTACATAGATTGTCCCTGGTGCGTGGCCGAGGAGGCACGCCATCGCTGTCCGAAACTCGTGTATGCAATATGTCGTGATGCGTGCCCCGCCGCCCGATTATTCTTCTCCCGACACGGAATCCTCGTGCTCCAGAGAAGAGAACGAACAGATTCGTGCGAAACTTGTCGTCGAGAATTATCGTTCGAAAAATTCGTGCGCAACGCGACGATCGAATGGATTCGCCCCGTCTAAGCTGCGACAACGAACTCGTCGATTCGCGTTTTTCTTTCTTTTCTTTTTTTTTTTTTTTTATTTCACGGCATTAGCGATATTTTGATATTCCGTTGATTTCCATTGGTTACGATGGCGAATGGGAGGGGAAAAAAAAAAAAAAGGAAAAAAAAACAATCGATTCGCTTGCTTTGATTTTTTTCATACGAGAAACACAAAACACCACGTCCATCTCGTGCACGGGACTGTCAAGTTTTTCCCCTGTATTATTAACGGGTAAATAGTTTGAAATTCTATTCGTGTAAATTGTATCCTTCGCGAGGTTAAAAGTTTCCCGATTCGTTAAAATATCCCCGATTTTGCGATCATCGGTAAAAAAAAAGGGGGGAGGGCGGATTATACGATAGATTTGCCGCGTAACTTTCGTTCGTATCGATCGTTGTGCTGCCCCGCGGAACCTGAGCGAACGATAAAAATGTTAGAAAAATCAATCACGTTGGTCCATTTCGAAAAAACAAAAGCGGGGGGGGAGGGGAGAGGGAGGGGGGAGAGGGAAAAAAAAAAAAAATCTGCGAGACCGGTGGGCACGCATCGTCCTACGTCTATCAATACTTTATACAACAAATGCGAAACGTCCGCAAAAAGCTGCCGTATTCGTGGTCGACTCCGCAGCGGCTATTAATCTGATATCGAAATAACGGGCATTTTTTCTCTCTCTCTCTCTCTCTCTCTCTCTCTACGAACGGAGCTCAAAATTGGTGGTACTCGCTTAAGCCGAAACAATTGTTCCGCGTTTTTCGAATTCTCTCCCTTTGCTAGCCGGATGGACGATCCGCGTCCTCGACAAATATTTATGGAGATAAATTTACGTTTCGTGGATCCATTATGCGGAATTGATGATCAAAAACTGCTCAAGTTCGAATACAACCGATCACTTTTCCACGTTCAACTGGAAATTAAATATTTCATTATTGCTCTGGTATTTTCTCTGGTATCCTGTTATCCTCGCGGTTTCCAAAACATTCAATATGCGGTAATTTTTTAAAAGCTTTCCGCGGGTTCCTTTCCCCACGGATCCCCTCCTCCTATCCTCCACGAGAGTCGAAAAACGAGAGAGAGAGAGAGAGAGAGAGAGAGGAGGA